CAGCTGATTTCTCAAAAGAGGCCTTGCAGGCAACAAGGGGCTGGAAAGAAGTATTCCAGGTCATGAAAGGCAAGGACCTACATCCAAGATTGCTCTATCCAGCAAAGCTTTCATTTAGAATGGAAGGGCAGATAAAGTGTTTCCTAGATAAGGTCAAGTTAAAGGAGTTGATTATCACCAAGCCCTTATTATATGAAATGTTAAAGGGATTTATCTAAGAAAAAGAAGATAAAAAATATGAACAGTAAAACAACAGCAAACTCACAGTTATTAACAACCACACCTAAAACAAAAACAAAAACAAACTAAGCAAACTAGAACAGGAACAGAAGCACAGAAATGGAGGGTTATCAGGAGGGGAGCAGGAGAGAGAGGGGGAAAAGGTACAGAGAATAAGTAGCATAGATGGTAGGTAGAAGATAGACGAGGGAGGGCAAGAATAGTATGGGAAATGTAGAAGCTAAAGAACTTATGACCCAAAGACATGAACTAAAAGGGGGGAACGTGGGTGGGAGAGGGTGTGCAGGGTGGAAGGGAGTGAAGGGGGGAAAATGGGACAAGTGTAATAGCATAATCAACAAAATATATATTTTTAAAAAGTTGTTCTGAATGGAGTTTTTGCAACACAAACTCAAACCTCACATGTAAAGTATTGATATGTGGGGAAAATGTAGAAATGGCTTTTTTACAATAGCCAAAAATAATGGGCCTAAGGAATCAAGACAAATCATCAATGTAAAAGAGCTTCAAAAGCTATAAAGCAATGTATAAAATAAAAGACACTGCTATTGATGTCGAGGTCCAGCAACCAGAAGGAATTTGACCTAAACACGGTAGAATTGTATAATTGTCATTACATTCACTTATCCTTTTATATTTTTGATTACATTAATAGAAACTGTTAGGAGTCCTTATTAAAGTGGCCCTCGCCATATACTTTCTTTCCCCAGACAGATACATAATATCTATTTCTGTCTCATTATATCTTCAAAAGTTTGTGCTTAATCTTCAAACTGTTAGAACAAGTTCTGGAAATGTTACCACATACACATGAAAATAAAAGGAATGTACTTTCTCTGTATCTGAAGCAATACAACAAAAACAAAATAAAAACTCTGCCAGCAGAAGCATGGTCCATAATCTTATGGTAATATAGTTTATTAGTTGGGATTTTAGAAAGTTATTTTCAGTTTTTTGTTTTTGAGTATTTCATTCCCCACTGTAGTAGTTCAAGTAGAATCTGAGTAGAGAGAGTAGAATAAGAAGCTGAGAAACTGAAAGAAGAGGAAAAGTATGGGAGTGAAGTCCAAAGTCAAGAGGGAAGATAATTTATGTGATTTGTTTTAAGTCTAGCCATATATTCTTCTAACAAGTTCTCTCAGTAACAAGTCCTGAGCTTTAATTTCAAAACTGGGATTCTGACACCTGTCACTATAGACTGTAACAGCAATACAACAATACTTAACTTCTTTTGAGCACTTATGTGATATATCAGGCACCATTTTAAATGTTTTCCATTAACTCAATTAATCACAATAACCCAATGACAGGGGTACTATTATTATCCCTATTTTATAGAGGAGGAACTAGAAAGAGAGGTTAAATAACTTGCTCAAAGTCACAGAGGAAGTGATGAAGTTTGGCTCTGAATCCTGCAACTTTGCCTTAGAAGTTCACTGCAATGATTTTCCACCTACAAACTGCAGAACCTTTTGACTCCAGGAATCCTACTTTCAATATATTTTGTCCATTTAAAATTCACAGTAAAAACATCACAATCAAAACTTTTATTACAGCCCCGGCTGGTGTGCCTCAGTTTTTTGGGAGTCAAACTGCAAACACAAAGGTTGCTGGTTGGATTCCCAGTCAGTGCACCTTCCTGGGTTGCAGATTCACTCCTGGTCAGAAGGTAGCAGGATGTTTCTCTCCCTTTCTTTCTCCCTCCCCTCCCTTCCCCTCTCTCTAAAATCAAAACAAATAGCCCTGGCTGGTGTGGCTCAGTGGATAGAGCACTGGCCTGCAAACCAAAAGGTGGCCGGTTCCATTCTGTAACAGGGCACATGCCTGGGTTGCTGGCCAGGTCCCCAGTTGGGGGCTACATTGGTTGCCTCTTGCACATCAATGCTTCTCTCCCTCCTATCACCTCTCTCTAAAAACAAACAAACAAACAAATAAAACATTTTAAAAATAAAATCAAAACAAAGAAAAATACAAAAGTTTATACTGTAAAAGAAGCTAACACAACTTTTTAATGCCAGGTTAAGTCACTTTTGTGCAGATCTTAGAATAAAGTTAGTTCTGTCACTTCTGAAGTCTTATTTGAACTTCTTGTAAGTGTTTCAATGATTTGGTAGGTGCAATTCTGCACCGACTTTTTTAAACTAAACAATAGATCTGTCTGCTTAGGTAAAAGGAGCTCAATCAAACACAAGCTCAATCAAACACCAGGTAAAGTTCAGGTGCATCTTATCACAATGCAAGAGCAAAAGAGTGAACAAAGGAACATAACTCATTCATTTTAAGTTCCGGGGGCTTCTTGTCTGACATAGTTAAGGTAAGAAATACGGGTTAGTTATGATTTTGAAAATTTTCCTACTGTTTCTACTATCTCCTATTATTCATTCCTTCTTCTAGCTACAGAACATTTAACTGAAAGGTATCCTGAGATGGCAAGGGAAACTGTTAAGAAAAAAAAATTACCTCCTTCACCCACTTTAGCTATACATCTCCACTGTTGCACTCTGGACCTTGTGTCCACAATCCTCTGTACTCCCACTTTGCTGTATCGACCACTCCCAGTCAGGTCTTTGATTCTATTGGGTCCATTCTTCTATTGACCATCTACTGTCTGCTATTCACTGACAAATCAATTGTTCTTTCCTTTATTCAGTTTTACTCTTTACCCAGCTGAGATTCCATGAACCATCATTATAATGATATTCCGACCAATATCTTTGCTCCACTGTCATTTTGTTCCATGTAGCTGGCAATCCCCAACCCTGAATGAAGCCTTCTATTGGCTTTCACCACACAGTGGTATCAAAGAAGCTGAGCACTCCTAGTAAAGGTCAACAAGCAGATGGGTTATTATACTGTGTATTCATGACCACCAACTTCTATGAAGCTTGTACGCTGCTAGACAATCCTACTATGTCACCAGTTAGCATGCTTCCTCTACAACTATTTATTTATTTCAAACATTTTCAATGTACTTCAAACCTTGGACATCTGTCCCTCCCATCTCTACAGCAACTCACAGCACAAGACTTAGCCTACTAATCTGAAGGAGATGTACTCATCCTATCCTTGCTTTCTTTCAAATATAACAGAGGAGCTACACACTTTCCCAGTGCTCTGAATACTGCCCTTTTCCATTTTCTCAGGAATGTTATACTATTACTTAGCTCTTTCTTCTCCTGTACAGGTAACAGTTCCTGATCTCAAGTATAGCTTCCCAGGGATTATTTAGTTTATTTTATACAATGGAATTCTACCTGAAACTTCTTTGCAGAAAGGATCTTTTCTGCTAAAACAGTAAAACCTTTTTGCCCTTAAGTATGCAAAGTCCCAAAGAAAGTCTCATAAAAGGAATCACTGCACATATAATTAGGATAAAAACAAGAACAAGTCATGACTTGCATGTCACACATACAACTATACAAACTAGTAATGCTGATGTTGCCAACATTTTCAGAAATAAAGCCCACTGTTTCGCCAAATTCTAAACCATTGTGATACTTTATACGCTTTTCAATTTTACAAAATTGAGGTGTAATTGACATATAGCATTGTGTATGTTTAAGATGTACAATGGCTGACTTCATACACTTTTCTACTACAATAGGATTGCTACCATAGCATTAGCTCACATGATATACACTATGCTTTACAATTAAAAGCTGTGCTAAAACTGTATAGGCAAAAAGAGGAGCAGAACTTTTATAGTGTTATTTTAATAACCAGCAAATCTGACAATATGATTTTATGTTACTAGGTCTAGATGAGGGAGAGAAAGGAGAGAGGAGGAAGCAACAAATGTCCTAGGTACCGCCTTTTTTAAGGGCTAAAAATGTTACAGGATATACAGAACCATGAGTAATACTGTAGAAGTAGTTTGACAACTTAATGATACATTTTTATAACAAATAATTCACGGACGGAGCTTGACATTCCCAACCCCCAATATTCCCTTCATCTGCACTGAACAAGCAGTTAAAAAACAAGCTCGGGCATTCACCTGCGATATCCTTTCTTCAGAAAAGATGCCACCTCTGTTCCACCAGCACCTCCTTGCCCTGCTGCTCACAGCTCCAGTGTTATAGCAGACACTGCTACTGGGGCTGGGCTGCCTGCGACTCTGCTGTGTTATTAATTTTGTAACTACTATTAAGATCTTTAAAGTGTTTTGTTATGTTCTAGAATGAAAGATGCTCCATAAAATGAAGTTTATTATTAGTAGGCTTAGAGCTCCCAGGCCTACAATAAAGCCAAGTTATAAACACAGAGACTTCAAAGGGAAAACCCGGAAGCCACATTCTGCCAACGCTGCCAAGTAGGCAGGGGCTAGGCCGGGGCGCGGGGACAGGGGGTCCTACCCAGCGCCCAAGCCAGCTCTCACCCCAGCATCAGTGACCCTGCCTCTTCCACCACCTCTCCCCTCCACAGCTTCGCTGGGGTCGAGGTCAGCCCTGGCACCTCAGGGCCTTTCCTCGCCCACAGGCAACCTCGCTTCGGCCCCAGCCTCCGCGCCAGCTTTCGGATTCCTTTACAGACGCCTCAGTTTCCTCCAAATACTTTCTTCCCGTTTCCCTGAATTCTTTTTAAAAATTCGGCACGAAGCTGGTTCTCCCACGCTCCCTGAGGTCGGGGCGGCCGTCTCCTCTCACCCGGCTTCCTGGTCCGGGACTCGACTACCCAGGCCAGGTCTCCTCTCCTCTCAGCCACTTTTCTTCAGCCGGATCCCCTACCTTCACCACCCTTTCCCGGCCCCCGCCGCTCACCCGCGGACTCCCCGGTGTTGATCCAGTCGGGGTTGGCGATGCTGGCGATTGCGAAGATATCGGCGGCGAGAAAGAGACATCCTGAGATGATGGTCAGTTTATCCATCTCCCCGCCCCGCTCCCCCCACCCCCCGAGCCCCGGGCAGGCCGCGGCCTCACGCCTTGCGCCCCATGGGCCACCGCCTACAGACCCCTCGGCCCCGAGCCGCTAGCGCCCTTCGCGCTCCGGAGACTAGCAGCCGCGGCGCGACCCGTAAAGCCAGCTCCGCAGCCCGCCCGGAAATGCTCGGAGTGCCCGCCCTTCACCCGGAAGTGAAGCCGTGGCGCTAGTTCTGTCTTGTTCTCCGGGTTTCTGCGGCCCCCGAGTCTTTGCGGCATCGCACTGCTCCACCCCGACCTTATTTTGGTCCCCTAGCTCAGGCCCCTGCCCCGTCCCCGGTGTCTTTCGGCAGGCCTTGTTCTCGTCGTTGACCGTTTGGTCACAAAATGCCCTTCACTCCTTAGCCTGAGACTAGATGGGTGCTGGGGAGGGGAGGCGCCGGTCTTCCAGTTAAAGGACCCATACAGCCCCTGTCACCTTGTATAATTGCCTACTCAGTGCCCGTGAGCTCGGAACTGCCTCAGGTAGTACGTAACCATCGACGCCATGCGCCGGCACTGGGGTGCACCTGTGAGACCAGGTCCCGGCTCTTTGAAGCTGACGTCTTGCTGGGGAAGCCAGAAACACGCTAAACCTCCTCTTTAATGATAATTTCAGGTGTTGATCTATTAATTAGGTCAGCTGGGGATGGGACACGAAGGGTTATACAGACCACCGCCGTCCTAAGGCCCTGACCTATGAAGATCTGGGCAGGACTAAGGGAGAAGAAGCAAGTGCGCGAAGCTCTGGGGAACGGAAGGAAGACGTCGGCCTGTCCTGGGTGCTGCGCGGGCGGGGCGGGGGGTGGGGTGTGGTGCTATGGCTGGGGAACTCTGTGTGGGACAATGAGAGGTGGGCAGAGGACGGATGTCGTGCTTGGGGAGCCATGATGAAGTTTGGGATTTTATTCTAAGTGCAACACAAGGCACTGGCAGGACAGTGAGAAAATTTAATTTGTGGACAGTCGACATGAGGGGCAAGAATGAAAGCAGGGATACCTACAAGTCAAGTAGTCCAGGAGAGAGAAATGTTCTTTTAGCTGGTATGAGAGCAGTGAAGATGGAGAAAAATGGACAATCTGGGTGTTTCGTAGGCAGAGGGAACAACTAGCTGAAATTGGAGTTGAAAGAGAGGAATGAGTCAGGAATGACTCCTAAATTGTGTTTGGTGATACTTTTTACTACATGGGGCCTAAGGAGAGACTTAGGTTGGATGGATAACCAGAAAAGAAAAAAAGACATTGGCATATTTTGTTAGCAGTACAATTAGTCTATCTATCTACAGTTTTGCCATCTAGTGGAGGTTTCCTTTCTTTCGTGGCTTGTGGACTAAATCACCATTAACCCCGACTTTGGATCCAGATAGTCCCTCTATGCAGCACTCAGATGAGACACTCATTTTCTCCCTGAATGCCACCCAGCTTATCTCTAGAAAGACCTAGAACAGTGACACCTGTCTCTATTTTTGGAATGGCTACAAGTCCCCAAAACTCTGCAAATATCAAATTTAACCAAATCCAGCAGCCTTGCAGAAATGTGCAGTTATCAATATCACCATGTAGATTGGGTAAGGAGCAGTTTGATTGCTAGTCTATAGACATTCCTGTTCAAACATTGGCCTCTTGAGGTGAAGGATTTTTAAAAAATATTATACCATTTATTTTTCCTCTGCCACAGAACTTGGCACAAACTACTATATATTCCAGAAATTCAGATAAGCATATCGCATTACTGCAGGAGGACTTTGCTTTTTTTTTTTTTTTAAAGTACTGGACAAGTTTGAGGGAACTATGTCCTTGGCTGATTGACATTTCTATTGCCCAGGAATAGAAGCAACTCCAACTATACAGTTCTGAATTCTCAAAAAATGTCCACTGATGTGCACCACTGAGCAGTTGTTGAGAATTCTAGGGTGAAATTTTGAAACAGTTTGCCTGTTTGAACTCAAACTGAGTGGAATGATGATGACTTGATTCTTGTGTTTAAAAATCCCAAATATAAATTACTCCTACTCAACAGCACTTTTCCAGTCCCTCCTGCCATTGTCCCACCACAAAAGTTTCTGGATTTAAGATTAAAACATAAAAACAACCAGTATGGAGTTAAAAAATTTAAAACATTTTTATCAGATAAATGGTTGCACATCACTGCAGACAATGGGAGTAGGGGATAGAGGGATGATCAAGGTTTATGTTTACATAAATACCATGTTTACAGATTTCCCATTCTATTTTCAGTCCTACATCTCTTTTCTTCCAGTACCTGGTGTTTCAAAGTCCCAAGTCTCTCTGAGGCCTGTGGGACAGATCAGTTCCCTTCTCTATGTTTCAGTCTAGATTTTAGTAGTGGCAAACCCCAGGGGGTTTAGAGGCAGTACAACAGAGTGAAAAAGAATACAGAACTACCCCTGACTGGTGTGGTTCAGTGGATTGAGTGCCAGCCTTTGAGCCAAAAGGTCACTGGTTCGATTCCCAGTCAGGGCACATGCCTGGGTTGTGGCCCAGGTCCCCAGTAGGGAGTGCATGAGAAGCAACCACACATTGATGTTTCTCTCCCTCCCTTTCTTCCTCCCCTTTACTTCTGTCTAAAAATAAATAAGTAAATATCTTAATTAAAAAAAGAATGCAGAACCATATTGTAGTCCTACACCTGCTACTGACTTGAACTTCATGTCACTTGCACTTCATGTCACCTCTCAGGGTCTCTCCCCCATATAACCTAGCAGAGTCAAGCACTCTGCTTCAGTGATAGAACCTCCACATCTGATCACCCCTAAGCAGAGCAGCCAAGACTTTCCAGAGAAAGGATGAGCTACACAGAGGCAGGAAGTCCTAAGGGACCCAGAAGAACATAGAATGCCTCAGAAGGGAGCTAGGCTGGCAGCCTGAAGTCATAAATAGCCATTCTGCACTGTTAACGGGCTGTGAACAGATAGCACTTTACGATGATGGATTGTAGGTGATAGATTGTAGGCCTCAGCCCAGCAGAAGCTGAATCCAGATGAGACCTCTGGGAAATCTGGGGATGGGACTGTGCAATCACTCTTTTCTTCAAGCAGTCTCTTTGGCCTGACAGGATAAAGAACGCACTGCCATCCTGGGCTTCAAGTTGACCATGCAGGCCAAGAGTATGCTGGATGCACCACATGTGTGCACCTGGGGTTTTCAGAATGAGATACAACAAAAGAGCCAAATCCAGAAGTTAACAGCTTGTGCCTTGGGCTCAAATCTGTCAAATGGATTGGCTTTCATTTGAGCTGATTGTGAGATAAGACATTATCGATTAGTGTGCACGAGGTTTCTGAGGGAGTACTCTCAAGATCAATTCCTGTGGGGGAAAGGAAGCAAATAGACTGAGCAGAGGAAGGAGTCTGAAGTCACAGGAGTCTCTGGCAGGTCCCACAGGGAGCTCTGAAGCTGGATGGCATTGTGGAGTTGTTAGCTGGGGTAGAGACCAAGCCTTTGTATGCCTACATGGACCAGTCACTGGATGCTAGCTACCCCAGGAATGGGGCATGCATGATCTTGGGTAAGGTGGCTCTCAGCCAAGGACAGTTCCTTGAAGGGGTTGGCAGCTGTGATCTGTCAATCTACCTACTACCATCTCATTATCTGTAGAATAGGTACTTCAGCTTCAGCTCTGAAGGGGGCCTAGGCAGCACACTAGCCTTTGCAATAGTGCACCCATGGTGCAGCAGTTCTTTTCAGTTTGGAGAGCAGCACCTTCAGGACCCTGGTGGGCATCTTTTCCTGTGGAAAACTTATAAGAGGAAGATGAGTAGAACAACAACTGCAGCTGCAGAACCGATATTGATCTCATTTCCCTCCTCTCCTATCATCCTTGATTCTTCAAACCCTCTGCCAGCACATCTAATGGCCTAGGTGGCTTATGTGGTGGGAGGCCTAGGCCTCCATCCCTGAGGAATTTGAGCCCCTGGGTGCCATTTACTTCTCAGGTGGTGGCTGCTGTATTTGTCTTATTTACTGTCAAAATAGGATGAGGGAGTGCTAAGAGACACCCACATGGATCTTGTGGGTGCCAAACCATTACATTTTACTACTGGTGAAAATTGAACAATCTAAGTGCTTCCCTGTCTACTGTGGGTGGGGTCCTCATTGTTACCTGGGTAGTGAATCATCCAGCTCCCAAGTCCCATTGTAGCATCTACTCTTTCAGAGCACATCAACTGCTGGTGCAGGTGGGCTCTCTAGGAAACACGTTCTGAGTTACAGAGAGTTTACTGGGGACTATTCTTGGGACCCACACCTGTGGGGGGAGGGAAGGAAGTAGAACCAGGCAGAATGAGAAGTGAAGTTGTAGTGCAGCCACAGGTGGACCTCAGTGGCCCCTGGAGGGACTTCTGAAGCTGGGATGGCCCTCCAGAGTTGTTTGAGTTGGACAGAGAGCAGGTTTTTACCCTACACTGATCAGTCACTGGGTACTGACTTACTTGGGAAGCTGTGAACTTGGGCAAGAAGCTCTGTTTGGCTAGCAGCAGGGTTGAGATAGAGGCAGGAAGAAAAAGTCCATCAGTCTTGAAGGGGCATCTGGGTGGCACAGCACGGAATCCATGACAGTTTGTATCCTGCAGTTCCAATAATCAGTATGATCTTGGCATCTACTCAAAAGAGCATTTTCAGCCTGGGTTGGAGGAGAGGTGGGTGGAGTCCCTGTACCAGGCCCCAAGATGCTTCCCTCATAGAAACTCAAATGCTGCCATGCCTCATTCCTGCTAACTCTCACCATTCCCCTACTGATAGGAAAATAGAGGAAAAGGATATATTTTATGGTAGAATTAATTTGCTATCTGGACAGCTGCTTCACCAAATGATTTGGAAGAAGAAACAGGCCATCCATCACAAGAAGCCACCTGCAGGAGACTCCCTGATGTTGAGAATGGTAGGAAACAGGACAACTTTGTCCATTTCCCTTTGCACCAGCCTTTGCAACACAGGATTTATCCAACAAGAAATCTGCCCTGGATCTTACTGATGTAGCTCTGTTGGTTGGGCAGTGTCCCCCAAAGCAAAAGGTTTGACTCCCTGGTCAGGGCACATGCCTGGTTTGCAGTTTGGTTCCAGGTCTGGATGCATGCAGGAGGCAGCTGATCAATGCATCTCTCTCACATTGATGTTTCTCTCCTTCTCTTTCTCTCTCCCTTGCCCTGTCTCCAGAGACAAATAAGTAAAATCTTAGGGGAAAAAAGATTTCCTTTAAAAAAAGATCTTTTAAGAGGAGATTTATGAGAGGGAAATCATGTCACCAAAATTAGTGTGATCTTTGGGTTTTGGAGGAACACTCACTTGCAACAAGAGAAGAGCAAATTTGTTGGAATAAGAAATATTTTGTAACATCTAGGTTGCTTAAACAGTTTCTGAAGTTAAAATTGATATGTGAGTTATTGAAGCCCAGAAAGCACAAAGAAGTGGAAAAAGAAAAAGAAATCTGTCCTGGTTTATTGTTTGGGTAGAGCCACAGAAACAGCTGAATAAGCTGGGAACTTCCCAGGTTTGGACATCTTTGCACAGTGCCTGACACCTAATAGGTACTTGATTACTATTTGTTGAAGGCAGGAGTGCAAGGTGCTTAGCTTCTCAGTCTAATCAGAGTGGGAAGGGCAACAGGACCTACCTCATTCTCTTGTTTTCTATTTCTTCTAAAATTTATTTTTGATAATTTATATTTTCTTAAAACTGCCCACTCCATCTGTTTTTAAAGTCTCAGTTCCAAGAGATAGAGCCCTTGTTTGTCTTGTCTTGTGCATCAGCACAGACGGTAGAGCAGGCTTCTGGCTTGAGTAAATGTGTGTAGGAGGAAGGGTTATTTTGGAAAAACAAGAAGAATTAATTCCTCTCTGAACCGTAACTCACTTTTTTTTCAGGTCATCCTTGGCTATTTCTTATTCAAAATATCCGTGAAAAAAAGTGCAGTTCCAAAACAGTTGGATTGGCTGGTATAACAATATTTAGAAACTTTATTGGGGAGGCAGCAGGGGAGTCTATGCTTGCTGTGATGGTCCCCTGTGGACCATTTCACATCTTCGAGATCCTCCCGTGTGCTTTCTCCACTCCCTCCATATCAGTAGTTTCAGAGGAATTGATGTGAACTCACTGTGAGCAGCGTTGTACTAGTACCCTCAGAAGTTTTGCTTTTCTCCATCGAAATATTTCCACTCCATTTTCCAGGTCCACAGGCTTTGTGATGACGTCACTACCCAACTTCTGGGCATCACGGTCGCGCGGCCCCTGGGGGCAAATCATGGCGCTAGCCCTAGGTCTTTCAGAACCGCAATCACAATCGGACCACGTGCAGCGCAGCACACTGGCTCCTCGCTCCTCCAGGATTCGAGACCGTTGGGAATTGGACCGACTTTGGCTCAGTTTCAGGATGTGCTCCTGACAGCCTGCCCTCCAGGGGCTATGGAGAAGGCCATCTACAAAAGCAGAAAAGGTGAGTGGAGAGAGAGTAGACAAGCCTTCCTCGCTTTTTTTCCTCTGTGAAAATGGGAACAACACTCTTTTGGCCTCTTGCCATCATTTGTTTACCAGACTATAATTTACATACAGTAAGAGCCTCCCTTCTCAGGGCACAGGTCTGAGTTTTGAAGATCGCTTACCCACATTTAATCACCACCACAGTCAAAAGGCTGCACCTTGGCCACCAACCTTCTCCCCAACCTCATCTGTTTCTGTGGTTTTTCCCTTTCCACAGAGAATGTCACAAAAAATGGGATCATATTGAATAGAGTCTTTGGAGTCTGGCTTCTTTCACTTAACCCTGCTGTCTTTTGAGACATAGTAGAGTGAAACCCTGCCTAAAAGGCCACTTTTCTATTAGGCTCAAGGAGAGGATGGGGACCACCTGCTCTAAGTTGCCCCTATAATCTTTTATTTTCTTCAGGATTTTATTTATTTATTCCTAGAGAGAGGGGAAGGGAGCAAGAAAGAGAGGAAGAAAAACATCGATCAGTTATTTCTTACATGTGGTCCCACCCGGGATTGAAACCCCAACCCAGGCATGTGCCCTGACCAGAAATCAGATGATAGCCAACCAACTGAGTCACACTGCTCAGGGCATGCCCCTATAAGCTTGAAAAGTCTCTGAAGTTGGTTCCTCCTTCACCCAAGGTTTTTTGCACACAGAGAGGATGAATATAGGCTAGAACACCTGTTGGGCAGAAATAGCAGTGAACCCTGCCAGCTGGGGTGGGGGAACAGGGGAAGCCCTCAATAGTAGGAGGTCGCCCAAGTCCTCCAAACACCAGTCACATCAATTTGGCAAAGGCTTAGTGAGTAGCAGTTTGTCACTTGTCCATAAGGAAAAGTGTTACGTGTGTGTGAAACATTGGAAAAATGTGCAGAAAACAAATCTCCCCAGAAGTTCTAGTGTACTGAGTGAGTTTCCCAAAAGCTTCCTGTTGGAAAGAATAACTTGTTTTAAATCACTCCTCAGTCTTTGAAACTTTTCTTATGAGGTTTAGTTCTATAGAAAATGTATTTCATTCCCTCCCACCACCCATTGTCCCAGGTTCTCCTCCCAAATGCTTTTTCACTACTGTGCATTTCTACTTTCATTGCCATGACATGCTTGGGCAATTGCAGTAACCCCTTTATTTCTCATATCCACTCTGGACTCCATAATCTAATCTCCACACAGCAACCAAAGAGTGAGCTTGCTTGCTTGCTTTCTAATCCCTCCCTCCCTCCCTCCCTCCCTCCCTCCCTCCTTTCTTTTTTCTCTTTTAAATGCAAATCTTATCCTGTCCGGCATACCTTGCGTCTAGCTTTTCCAGTTAGGTAAACCTGCAAGGCAGGTCTGCTTGGCCTTTGTTCCTCCTATCTGCCCCTACTGGTATCCTTTATGCTCTCTCCTGTCTCTGAATCTTGATCCAATTTGCTCCCTTTCGTGTCCTTTTGTCACAGGTGTGCACAGGTGTGCACAGGTAACCAGGTTCTTAGTGATCGAGAACAAAGAATTGAACCGAACACACAAAGTTTATAGCATAAAGAAAGAGGGGAGGTTTATTAAGTGATAGTACATACCACAGGACACGGGAGTGAGCCAGCTCTGAGCAGAGGAAAAAAAAGGGGCACGTGGGCTGGGGGATTCTATTCTTATGGGGGCAGAAGCCCCCCTGCTAGTCTTTGGCGGGCTTTTCCTGCGCAGGTACAAGGAGTTGGATTTCAAAGCTACTGCGCATGTGTGGTTTCCCATGACTTTCTTGATTGGCTACTGGAGAAAGGAGTCCCACAATGTTATTTCATTATAATGATATTATAATGAATCAGGGAGTAGCGCGCAGGCGCATTCTATGATTCAGAGTTGTCCCAGAAAACAGGAACAACCCGTCTTAGGGGGTCTTTGTCATGTATAGGTGTTTTCTACCTCAGCCCTGCGGGGGCCTCGGGAGCTTCCTTCCTGACTACCTCCTGCCTCAACTTCCCCCTGAGAGACATGGTTCTCAAAAAATCTTTTTGGGGTTGTTGAAGGATGAAGATCCGTCTTCCATAGCTGCTTCAGGCTTAGATTGGACAGTAGACCCTGCCTATTGAGAACCACGGAACTCTCGCCCTATTCTATCTAGGGGTTGAAGAGGAATTCCTGAGGCCACCGCAGATGCTGTATGTTGGTCAGCTTCAACATCGTTCTCAGGGATTGGTTGGAAACCTTGGAGCGTCATCAGTTTGACGTGGAACTGCTTAAGTCTAGAAGAAACAAATTTAACAAGTAAATTAAATAAGCAAGGTCCTAAAAGTAAAACCAGCAGTGTTATTAAGGGCCCTAAGAAGGGTAATAACCATGTTAAGCCAGGGAACCAGGAGGTCAGGGCTTCCTTAATCCCTTGGCCCTGTTGATTATACTTATGTAGCCATTCTGCCTGTTCATAAATTTTCTTTATGTTAGTTTCGATCATTCCGGAATTATTTACATAGGTGCAGCAGGTTTTATTGATAACAGCACATACCCCTCCTTGTTCTGCTAGAAGATAGTCAAGGGCAAGGCGGTTATCCATGACTACATTTGCCAATGAGTCTACTGATCTTGAGAGTCCAGCTAGAGTACCAGCAGTATCTTTGGAGATTTCTTCTATAATCTTAGTGAGTTCCCTTAGAGTGGCCTCATGATAGGCGAAGCCTCCCCAGGGGGCTGCAGCGGCTATAGTGGCAGCAGCTCCAGCCACTACTAGACCAAAAGCTCGTTTTTTTTCTGCTGAGAGATGGGCTCCCAGGACCCATGGTTATATTTATAACAGTAAGGTCTTGGGGTGCCAAGGTCCCCTAAGGTACAGTCACCCCCCATGTTTAGAGTTGCTGAGATGAGTATAAGCAATAGCTTCTTGAAGTTCTGAATGATCCGTTAGCCAGTTATTGGGAGTCCCACATAGCCAGACGAGCCCCGGGGGTGCTGCAATAACTGTGGCATTAGTGGAGTTATATTTGTTAAGGAGGGCATATGGCAAGGGGGGAAAGGCAGTCCTTAAAAGGGCCTAAGTTATTTCCTTGATCTTTCCCCCCTGCAGGAGGTGGTAGAAATTTTGCTAATACTCCTTGAAGAGAGTGGTTTAATTTCCAAGTAACACATTTAGAAGTATCGTTTGTATCTGCATTGTGAGTTTTGTCAAAGCAACAATGGGTACTATTAGGAATACAGTTAGAATCATAATTCGGGTAGCATACTATATGTGACCAATTTAAAGGTTTGAAAATTTCTTCCTCAGAAAGATTCTCTAGAAAGCTGGAACTTGAAAGAGAAGCCAGGGCTTTAAATGGGTCAATGGCCCTTGTATGAGTATTATTATAACATGGGGTACATCCCATCGTACTGTTGCACTTAAGAGAGGTGCTGGAGTAGTTAAATGGCTTTAATTCTAGTGGGGTCATACGGAAACACAAAGGAGGATTTCTCTCCCATGTGACTCTTAAAGAAAAAGAGGAACGCGTGTAATTGGCAGAGGAATTCAAAGCACTGATTAAGGATTCATTAGCTATTGGGTAGGCTTTTATGAGTATTGTATCTGGAAGGAGTTTCTGGGTTAGGATGACATATCCAACATTGGGCCAGGTTTTCTCCTGCTGCTAAGGTTCGAGAAGCATTCACTAGAAAATTTTCATCCCATTCCGTTATACAGGGTGCAGGCGAGTAGAGAATGGTTAATAGAAACAACAAAGACATTTTCATTTTAACTGGATTTTAACCGGTAATGCAGTCTTTGCTCTTCCAGGAATCCCTGACTCCCAAACTAGTGGGTTTACTGCATCCAGAACTGAACTTGGGATTTCTTCCTGATTTCGAACACTACTGATTATCATCACCTTACTTAACTCAAATGGCACTTCAGGGAACAACAAGATGGTTCCCATCCGAGCTAAAAGGTCCCGGCCTAACAGAGGAATAGGGCACTGAGGAACAATTAAAAAGGAGTGTTTGAATATTCGACTCTCAAATTGGCAAGTGATAGGGAATGTATAAAAACATGCCTTAGGATTTCCTTCGACCCCCATTACCTTAATTGATTTGGAGGAAAGAGGTCCAGAGTAAGAGTTAAGGACAGAGTAAGTGGCCCCTGTATCAACAAGAAAGTCGATTTTCTTACCTGCCACATCTAGAGTTACCTGGGGCTCCTCGGTAGAGATGGGAATATGAGTATTCCCTGGGGCCGACCTGTTCCCCGGGCACCTTCAGTCCTCAAGAGTAGCCATGGCCTTGGGAGATGACCCCTTTCCACTATGGGAATGGGGGCAGTCTACCTTCCAGTGCCAGGGATCAGAACTGAAGTTCTTGCATAGAGGACAGGGCCTCGGAGGTGGCTGAGTGCAGTTCTTTGACCAGTGTCCAGGGCGCTTGCACTTATAACAGGTCTGATCCTTTTGCCCCTGATTCTTTTGAGGCCTCCCGGAGCTCTCCTGATGGGGCTGGTTTCCGCCAATGGCACTACTAAAGGCTAGTGCAAGGAGCTCTGCTTGCCTCTCCCTTTCCTTCTTTCCCTGTTTTCTTTCCTCCAAATCCCTATTGTTAAAGACTGAAAAGGCTGTATCCATGAGTTGATCTAAGGGGGTCTGCGGGCCCATTTGTAATTTCTGAAGCTTCCTGCGAATATCAGGGGCAGATTGAATTATAAAATGCTGCCCTATCAAGATTCGACCCTCCGGGGATGAAGGGTCCAAGTTTGTATATTTTTGGAAGGCTTCTACTAGTCTGTTTCTGAAGAGAGCTGGGTTTTCTTCCTTGCCCTGAAAGATTTCCCTAACCTTTTCATAATTCACAGGTTTCTTGATGCAGTTTCTCATTCCTGCCAGTAAGCAATCTATCATTGCATCCCTACTCCGGATCCCTGCCTGAGTATTGTATTCCCAGTTAGGTTCCTGGTCCGGGACAGCTTGGGCAGCTGGCTGGTTAGTGCCAGGGTTCTGGGTATGCAGCTGATCTGCATACTTACGGGCCTCCTCCCAGATCCGCTGTTTCTCGTCTGGGGAACAGCAGGTGGTCAGAATTATGTACAAATCCCTCCACGACATACTAAATGCTAGAGTAAGAGTCTGGAAATTACTAGTGAAACGTGAAGGGTCCTCTGAAAAACTCCCTAGCCTGTCTTTACATCGTTGTAAATCAGTTATAGAGAATGGCACTTGTACCCTTATAGCACCTTCAGGGCCTGCTACCTCCCTCAAGGGTAGGAGTGCAGGAGTGGTAGGGAGATAAGAAGCACCACTTCTAGTATGTCCTGCAGGGCTGGGTTTTTCCTCAGCTGGTGGCTTTAGGTTATCCATAGCATAAGGTGGTGGAGAGGTTGCTCCCTCTAAGGTAGGGGCAGAGACTTCAGAACTCTGGGGTTCCCTTAATCTCCCTTGAGAGACAGGTGGGGAGCTAAGGAGGGTATCTTCTAATTGATCAACACTTGGGCCTGTAGGTTTTGTCAGGGTGGGGCTGGAGCAAAACGAGGGATCTCGGTACAGAGCCATAAATGCCTGCACATAAGGAACTTCAGACCATTTGCCTTCCCTCCGGCAGAATAGATCTAGCTGTAGGATAGTATTATAATTTGTGCTCCCATTCTCAGGCCATATCTCTCCACCCCCCTAATTTATACTGGGGCCAAACAGTGTTACAAAAGAAAACTAATCTCTTCTTTTTTTTAAATTTTTGGGGTCAAATTTATCCCAGTTGCTAAGAATGCAACCCAATGGTGATTTGGAAGGGATGGAAGATGTAGTTCCCATCTCGACTGCGGTGATCCTAAGAGAGAAGAAAACACAAAGATACTCCTTTGCAGACTAGAGGCGTCCCTCTCTTTGCTGCCCTTAGGAGATTCCTAGTGGGCCATGGGTGTCCCCTGGGATCCCACCGAACTACCAGACGTCTCTGGCGAAAGAGATTCTAGTGAGAAAAATACTCCCTTGCAATCAAGAGTCGTCCCCCTTTTCTTGCCTCAGGAGCTTCCTAGTGGGCCACAGGGCGTCCCCTGGGATCCCACCGAACTACCAGACGTCTCTGGCGAAAGAAATCCTAGTGAGTGTCGGCCGACAGAAATCAAAAAGACTTGAGAGAATCACCACAGTCTACTTTTGTCTCTAACTATTGGGAAGGAACCAGTCCTGCATTCTTGAGCAATTGCCTATAATCCTGAAAATCCCAGACTCTACCCTTGTGGCCCTAGTACATGTCCATTTCTGTATTCTTCATCTACGGGGACCCTCATTTTCCTGTAAGCTTTAATATCTGGGGAAAAGGAAGTGTCTTACTAGAAAAAAATAATTTCTGGCCCTGTAAACCATTAAGAGGAGCACCAAGATGATCTTATTATAAAATGACTCTTTTCCAGATCACAAAGAAGACCCTTAAATATTCTATGTAATTTTCCAGAGCTTTAAGAAATTGTACCTGCATCTGAAATCTCCCAGAAGGAACCTCAAGCGATGTCTAAATCACCACCCTTCATACTGGAGGCGTATCTCATGGAGGGACAATGAACTGAGAGGGGAAATTAAAATACCCTTATAGAAACAAGTAAACCACCTTAGAATTCCAAATTAAATTAATTAGGTAAGAGTGGCTCTATGCAGCCATTCTAGTAACCAGCGACCAGCAGGCACCTGTTGTGCAGTTCTGAGCGATGTTGCTGCTTACAATGATAGTATACACGTGCCAAAGATGGGAGTGGCTCATTCCTGCAACTGTACTTAGCGCTAGCCTAACAATGACCCCAAGGTAGGTATCTTAGTACAAAGACAGCAGGAACCCTTCATACATAAAAGGCAAGTGGGGTGTGAGTGAAGATATAAAGATCAGAAGTCAGTTGGGGAGGAAAAGCATAAAAGACTGTCCATGGGCCTGATGAAAAGACTGCAAAAGGAAGTCATAGCGCAGGTGAGGTGGTGACTGATATCCCGCATGGAAGGTCCGACTATGCCTACTGGGGGGAGTGGCCGTGGGGTGGGGGCAGTGTTTTGTGCTTTCCACAGTGTGCCTGACCGTTGTGCGGACATTTTCTTGTACCTGGCGGGGACTAAGGCTAACCCCTGTTCCGCATCCAAGTTATCCTATCACAGGAGTCTTCAAGCGGCGGGCGCCCTTGTGGCTTTTAACTGCCCGACCTGTGCCCGCAAATTAGCGGCCGACCTTCCATCACGGAACATCAGAGTCACCGAAACAGAATAGGTGATAACGGAAAAGGGCATCCCGGGTGTCAGAGCAGCAAAGGGGGCTTACCACTCCGGTGTCTTCTCCTGAGCTGGCTCGCCAAAAACTGTCACAGGTGTGCACAGGTGTGCACAGGTAACCAGGTTCTTAGTGATCGAGAACAAAGAATTGAACCGAACACACAAAGTTTATAGCATAAAGAAAGAGGGGAGGTTTATTAAGTGATAGTACATACCACAGGACACGGGAGTGAGCCAGCTCTGAGCAGAGGAAAAAAAAGGGGGCACGTGGGCTGGGGGGATTCTATTCTTATGGGGCAGAAGCCCCCCTGCTAGTCTTTGGCGGGCTTTTCCTGCGCAGGTACAAGGAGTTGGATTTCAAAGCTACTGCGCATGCGTGGTTTCCCATGACTTTCTTGATTGGCTACTGGAGAAGGGAGTCCCACAATGTTATTTCATTATAATGATATTATAATGAATCAGGGGTAGCGCGCAGGCGCATTCTATGATTCAGAGTTGTCCCAGAAAACAGGAACAACCCGTCTTAGGGGGTCTTTGTCATGTATAGGTGTTTTCTACCTCAGCCCTGCGGGGCCTCGGGAGCTTCCTTCCTGACTACCTCCTGCCTCACTTTGCCTAAATATTTCCTATTAGTTCTTCGGACTTCAATTCAGTTTTACCTCCTCTGTGAAGCCTGGCCTGCCTTCCCCACAGGAGACCTTGACCTCCTGTTGTTCACCCTGAGCCTTCTGTACTTTTCTTTCATAACATGTGTTACAGCTGTTATTCAACATATTTACATGACTAATGGATGTCTGTTTCCTCCACTAGGTTTGAAGACCCATGAGTACAAGAAACACTTCCTGAATCCATAAATATTTGTTAAGTGAATGGATAATAATAACTAATGTCAATTAAATATTCATAATGTGCTAAGCACTGTGCAAAAACCTTTCTTTCACTGTCTTATTTAATTCTCATAATAGCTCCCTCAGGTAGACACTTTCCTGAGGAGGAAACTGAAGAGTGGAAAGGTTAACTGCCCTAGAGGTCTGGCTTTAGAGCTCCAGTGATGATTCTCATGCTTCTGTCTCTGTGAAGGTCTAAAACATATCCCCCTCTTTTTATTAGAAAAACAAATCAGCCTCCAGGTCAAGTCATCTGTGCACAACTTGAGCAAAACTCAGCAGACCAAACTCACTGTGGGCAGCCTGGGGTTAGGCTTGATCATCATCCAGCATGGACCCTACCTCCAGATCACACACCTCATCAAGAAGGGGGCTGCAGCCAGGGATGGAAAACTCCAGACAGGTGACTATGGTTCCCCATGCCTCCCACCACCCAACCCTGACTCCCTCCTCGCTGCCTTCAGGGATACTCAGGTTATTAGGTTTCAGTGTAACCATAATGATGATATTGTTTGAGAGTTTTCTATGGGTCAGCCAGTTGCTATCACTTATGTAATCCTCCCTCTTGTGCATTATTTATTCATTGAATTCTTGTAATAACCCTCTAGGTAGAAAGTATTATCATTCCTCTTTTACAGGTGAGAAAACCGAGGCTCAGTAAGAATGAGTTCCTTTTCCAGTTTCACCCCCATCTAGCAAGTGGAATACAAACACAGGCAGTGTCACTGTAGAGCTCATGGCTCTCTGTGGATAAAGATTTCCTCTCTGGTAGGCAGTATTAATCATTAACATTTAGATACATGACCTCATTTTAGCCTCAGGGTTTTAGCCTGAAAAATCCTGAGGAAGACTCTGCTATTTTAAGGACCTTACAGAGCCCTGGATAGTGTGGTTCAGTTGGTTGGTGTCATCCCATAACTGAAAGTTTGCAGGTTCAATTCCTGGGTCAGGTACATACGATCCCTGGTCTGGGTGTGTATGGGAGGCAACCAATTTGTTTCTCTCTCCCTTCCTCTCTCTCTAAAAGCAATGAAAAAAATGCCCTTGGGTGAGAATACAAAAAAAAAAAAGGGACCTTACAAATAAGGAATCAGGTATTTTAGAAACCCGCCCATGGTCACACCAAGGAGCAGGGATGTGAACCCTCTTTGTTAAACTCCCCAGTGCAAAGGCTATATCAGTACCACCCCATTTCTCCTGTCATTGGGTGAATGAATTTTTTATCCAATGTAAGATGTGTTTTCCCAGTGCCTGCTCTGGGCCTAGTGCTGTGCTCAGGAATCAGTGAGGCACAATGATATTATAATGTGTTGAGAAGAAAAACCATTCAGCATTAACTGGACTGTCACTTCCTAGTGCTATGACTTTGGACAAAGTCACTTAACTTTTCAGGCCTGAGTCACCTTATCCCTAAGTTGGGATAATACCACTTTTTTCAGAGGTTGCTGAGATTTGATAATTTTAATGAAAGTGCTTTGAAAACTACAATGCTATAGACATACTGGTAATAATTTATCTTAGGCTGGTCTTAGACAGTGCCTAGACTTATATCTTTAATGTCTTTTTTTTTTTTTAATAAAAAATGATTGTGGCACAGGAGCCCCAGCAAATTAAACCACTGGTTTGCAACTCTGGTTACCTATTAGAATCACCTGGGGAACTCTTAAAACTAAAGTTTTAAAGTCTCCTCTGGAGATTCTATTGTAATTGCAGTTTGGGTTAGAAGCAGTGGGTTAAAGAAGAAAGTAAATAAATGATCTTATTATGAAACAGTTCACTTCACCTTAAATCCAAAGCATTTTCTCTATGCATCACTACCTGGGGCTGGGGAACAAAGCACCAGAGAGTTCTGGATTTTCCAGACCAAAGGAACTCCAGGACAGATCCCATGGGCTCTGCTTGTTCTCCTTGGTTTCTCTGGGGTGAAGTGTATACTAGCTACTGCTCGATAACTAGAGTGTACACTCCCTAGAGTGGGACTAGGAGTGTTTTCATGCACACAAAGTGGAATCTCATGTTGGGGGCTACAATTAGTAGGCTTCTTGAAGTCCTTGAAGTCAGAGGCAGTCTTTTTTTTTTTTTGGAGGAAGAGAGCCCTAGCTGGTGTGGCTCAGTGGATTGAATGCTGACCTGCGAACCAAAGGGTCACCGGTTGGATTCCCAGTCAGGGCACATGCCTAGGTTGCAGGCCAGGTTCCCAGTAGGGGGCATGTGGGAAGCAACCACATATTGATGTTTCTCTCCATTTCTTTCTTCCTCCTATCCCCTCTCTAAAAATAAATAAATAAGATCTTAAAAAAAATAAAGAGGAAGAGAGTGAGAGAAAGAAAATTGATTTGTTGTTTCTCTTACTTATGCATTCACTGGATGATTCTTGTATGTGCCCTGACACTGGGGATGGAACTCACAACCTTGGTGCATTGGGACAACACACTGAACAACTGAGCTACACAGCCAGGGTCAGAGACAGTCTTGAATTCATCTTTGACATTCAGTACTTACCTGTAGTACTGGCACATTTATTATGTCTGTGCTTAATAACTGAATAATAATTGAGTATTTGACCTAGGTATTGTGCACTGTGTTTCTATATTATCTCATTTAATTTTGCAACGCTGCTGGAAGATAGATTATGAAATATAGAGGTTTAGTTAGGTAAAGGAACTTAATACACAGAGCAGAGAGGTTGGAGCTGGGACTCGAACCATGTCTACCTAGAAAGTCTCTACCTTTGACTAGAAATGAATTTTTTCCTATTGATTTAGAGAGAGAGGAGGAAGAGAGAGAAAGAGAGAGAAATTTGTTGCTCCACTTGTTTATGCATTCATTAGTTGTCTCTTCTCTGTGTCCTGACCAGGACTGAACCTGCAACCTTGGTGTATAGGGATAACACTCCACCCTACTGAGCTACCTGGCCAGGGCAGAAATGAGATTTTAATAAAGAGAAAGTCCAGAGTCCTAAATTTCTTCATGGCAAGTCAGCCACTCCTCTTCAGAGTCCAGGCTTCAAAGACTGTAATTCCTTCCTTTTGACAAGGGTTGAAATTTTGAGATGGCGATACTCCTTGAAACCTGCAATTTCTTTGACCTCATCATTTCCCAGCCCCATTCTCATCCATGTGCTTCAGATTTCTCTCCTTTGGTGTTTCATACATGTTTCATCTTGATTTCCTAATTTAGTGTTAACTTGTTCTAGCTAAACTTTATTTATTTATTTTAATATTTTATTTATTTATTTTTAGAGAGGGAAGGGAGGGAGATAGAGAGAGAGAAACATCAATGTGTGGTTGCTGGGGGTCATGGCCTGCAACCCAGGCATGTACCCTGACTGGGAATCGAACCTGCGACACTTTGGTTCGCTGCCCACGCTCAATCCACTGAGCTACGCCAGCCAGGGCTAAACTTTATTTTTTTAAAAATTTTATTTATTGGTTTTAGAGAGAGAGTAGAAGGGAGAGAGAAAAACATCGATTTGTTGTTCCACTTATTTGTGCATTCATTGGTTGATTCTTGTATGTGCCCTGACCCAGGGATTGAAACCATGGCCTTGGCATATTGGGATCATGCTCTAACCAATTGAGCTGCCTGGCCAGGGCCTCTGGCTAAACTTTAAATACCTTTTGGCCAGTATATCTTTTTTTTTTTATAATGTTTGAAGTTCTCTTTTAGAGATTTATTTATTTATTTTTAGAGAGGGAAGGGAGGGAGAAAGAGAGACAGAGAGAAACATCAATGTGTGGTTGCTGGGGACCGTGGCCTGCAACCCAGGCATGTGCCCTGGCTGGGAATCGAACCTGTGACACTTTGGTTCGCAGCTCGTGCTGGCCAGTATATCTTTAACAGACTCTGATACATTAAGAAATTAAAAATTTTTGAGGATAAATACAAGTCCTGTACTGGCTATCATTATTACCAAGACACATTAAGTATTTCCTGAATGCCAGCTGTGTGCAGGCTTTCCGCTCTGCACTGGGTCTCACACCACATGGAGCTTATGGAACTTAACCACCTAGTTGGGAGAAATGGAGAAAAATAAATAAATCTATTTTTTAGTAGTGGCTTGGCTGCTACAAAGTGGATTTAAGTAAGTATTGAAACAAAGTTTATGTGATGTAGTTCCTACAGCCTATTAAAACAAAACATGTGTAATGAGATTGGTGATTATAAATACTAGGTTGGTGTTTGTTTTTGAAGGGCCATGTGAATATCCACTGCCACAGTAATCACATTCATACAATGACATGTTTGGTTTATAGCATCAGGGTGTCAAGCTGTTTATTTTCAGCCCTTTTGATAAAAATCACCCTTTAACAACACGATTAAGCAGAATGCCAAGCCATAGCTTTCAGCTATAAACTTTCCTTTTAACATTAGGCAAGTGAGCTCACCCAGTGAGTTTTTGCCATTGTAATTAACCTCCGTTGGACCGCACAATCTGCAGGTAGCTAGGAGAAAGAAGCCTTGCATCATTCTGAAGCTGGCTTTGTTAGTTTTACTCTTAGCTACTTTTTAAGACCAAAGTAAAGTTTTCTCTACCCTTCTAAACATTCTTTAATACTGGAAACTTTTTTTTTTTTGCTCAGTTGTCAAGTGATCTTTAACTGAAATATTTTCCTTTGTAGTTCTTAACTAGCGAGGCATTCCACTGTACCACTGCTGATGTCATCTATGATGTCATGAAGGTGGCATCCATCAACATTGCAGCCCACAGACAGGGCAATCCCCAGGATCTCTGTAATGGTTCCAGAGAGTTCTCTAGCTAAAGACCAGTGCCACGTCTCTCAGGCAATATGGACAATCTCATCAAAAGTGGTCTTTCCACTGTGCTTAGTTGTTTTGTTGTTTTTTTGTTTCCTGGTGGTCCTTTGAGGGCTTTGATGATCAAGGAGGAGAAAGAAGGTACAGCCTCACTCTGGGCCTGTCTGTTCTAAATGTTCAGTTTCACTGAACATTTCAATCCTCAGACCTTTTTAGTCTAGTCATGAGTTGCTTGCTTTGGTGATGTCATCATCAAACTTTTTTTTATCCTCACCCAAGGACATTTTTTCATTGCTTCTTAGCAGGGCGGCGGGGGGGGGGGGCAGGTAAGGAGGGAGCAATGCAAGAGAAAAACATCGACTTGTAGGTACCTTGACTAGGGGAGGTTTGAACCTGTAACCTGGGCATGTGCCCTCACTGGGAATCAAACCCACAACCTTTCCATCTATGGGATGATAGTCCAACCAACTGATCCCACACCAGCCAGGGCTTATCACCAACCTTTTTTGTAGACAGGGGGTCAATCTTGGGGGCCAGAACAGAGGTGGCACCAACTTCCCCACCAATGCACCTCAGGAATATGACTTTGATTTCGTTGAGGTCAAACTTTGATGGCATGTTGTCAGATGAATCCAGATTCAGAAGGACTGAAGAAAGTTGCACCCAAGTCTCCTCTGAGCCAAAAGCCAAAAGAATACTGGGATTTTTTGTTTCTGATAGAATCTAGCACTACGGAAATTTATCAATTTATCTTTGGCATTCCTTGGAGGCTTCCTTTGGGATCAGCATACTTCCTAATGAGCACATGTGGAATAAATAAAGAGAAGGTACTTCATCTTGAGTCTTGTCTTGGAAGGAGGGTGATTGAGGGTTTGCCAGCTTCCTGTACACAGAGAGGTAGACACATCCTTTGGGACTTCATTGGAGTCACTTCATTCGATGTTAGTTATAAAGTCTCTATTACCATTTGACAGAATGTTAATACTAGTTAGATCTAAAGACTAAGATTTTACTAAGAATGTGAGTCTTCCCTTAAAAAACAGTTCCTCTGTATTCTTTCTTCTCTTGCTGAATATCCTTGTAGCAGTCAGGGTTCTTCATTGCAAGCAAAAGAACAGTTCTGTTAATGCACTGAATTTAGAACAGTGAGTCTGACAGAATTACCAGAAAGGCTGGAGAACCAGGCTTGGAAAATGGTGAGAACATAGGACCATGTACAACTACCCCTGGAAACTGGGTGTGCTCCCCTCACTCCTCTGCACATCCTGCTCCAGGTTCAGTGACTCTGGTGGGAGTGCCCAGTGGCTGAATCTAGGTTACATGTCCATGCCCTAGCTGCTGGGGGTAGGGAAGAGGGTGCAAATGAATAATTGGTCTTTTTTAGGATCCTATTTTGGGGTCCAGGAAGTTGCTGTCAAGATGTGGTTCTCTTCCCATCTACTGTGGGCTCAGAAGCCCTATGCTTTACCATCACTTTTCCCTCCCTGTCCAGCATTGCCTAAGCTGTCAAATCCCTTTGAGCCAACATATTTTCTGTATATACATCTTAAGCTTAATTAAAGCATGCTGATTGTCTGGTGTTTCATGCAAAACTATTTGCTCAACTAATACTCTACAAGGGTGAAGAATTAAACACCGATGTTTAATGTGGTCAACTTACTGTGGAGGGCACTGGAAAAAGCCAGGCAGCTATAATGGAAAGTAGGCCATTTATGCATCACTTAATGTAAGTGGCTTTTTCTTTAAGAGTAATAGCCATTCTTTTTACTTGAAACACACTTTTAGAATTCTAAAGGATGCTTCAATTATAAATGATATCATCTCTGTCACACCAAAAACTTCAGAAATGCTGTGACAGTGTGATATAATATCTATCATTGCATTGCTATACGAAACATCTTGCATGGATTCATTATGCAAAAGACACTGAAGTTACTGAAGTGGTTATTTTTTTAAAAAAGATTTTGTTTATATATTTTTAGAGAGAGGGGAAGAGGGGGAGAGATAACATCAATTGGTTGCCTCTTGCACACATCCCAACCAGGAAAGAACGTGCAACCCAGGGATGTGCCCCAATTGGGAATTGAACCAGTAACCTTTTGCTTGTGGGATGATGTTCAGCCAACTGAGCCACACCAGTCAGGGTGAGGTGATCGTTTTTATTAAATAAAGACTGACTCTTGGTTTTGGTTCCAGATGAACCAGCAATATGAACCCATAAAATGAAACACCTCCCAAGAAAACCCCAAATGCTATGTTCCCTTTAAACCATTATCTTATTTTTCTGCTATGTTTTCCCCTCTTTAGGTGATGTTCTGATTAGTGTTGACCAAGCCAATGTATTAGGATATACTCTTCGAGAATTTTTAAAGCTTTTGCAACATATTACCATAGGAAAAGTGCTGCAAATAAAGGTTTACCGAGATTTTATTGAGATACCCCAAGAATGGCAAGAAATATATGATTTAATACCCGAGACCAAATTCCCAGTAACATGGTAGGTAGTTCATTTTTGGAAATTTTTGTTATACTACAGAATTCTCCAGGGTATATGAAGCCCAGCATCTTGGCTTAATGTGAAAATTATTACATGGACCATGGTAGGAGGGATTGGTGACACTGCCAGAACAATGTCATGGTTTTCTTAATCTTTTTGAAAAAGAATAATCTGCAGGAAATAACATCAGAAAGAATGATAAAGGCAAGAGCCTTGAACCTGGAGTTAATAAAAAAGAATAAACTATCCCATGGGAACTCTGTCTGTGCAATGTGTACCCCTTTACAAAGTCAGCCCTTAAACATGCTGGGAATCCCATCCCCTCATTTGTCTCCTGTGTATTAACTGCCTTCTCTGGATCCTCTCCAGTAACATTTAAGCCTTTTAAAGCTTGTATCTATCATCTTAGCAAAAACCACCTTAACTGCACTCTCCTTTCTCAGCCCCTCTGACCACTGCCCTGCCTTCTGACCTTGTTGGAAGGGCTGTGCACTTAGACACGGCCATTTCTCAGGCACTCCTCAGCCCACATTAACCTGGGCCTTGTTGTCATCACCTGGCTGAGGCCTTTCCCAGGTACTCCAGAACCTTCACAGTGCTGATTTTCTGGCTCCTCTCATTTTTATTTTGACTTGGCTTCTGAGAACTAGATACTTTACAACCTCCCAACCTCACTGTTGTTGAAACAGCACCTTCCCCTGGCTTCTGTGATACCCATTCCCCTAATTTTCCTATGACCTCTAGTCACTCTCTTTTGGCCTTTACCCAGACTTGGAGTTTCTTAAGGTGTAAACTTTGGTTCTCTCCTCTCAATCTTCTGGGCAATCTCAATGATGACTTTGGTCTCTCTTATAATCCATACATTAAAAATTTTCAAATTGTATTTTATCTCCTAACTTGTATATTTAAACACCTACTTGGTATCTCCCTTTGGATATATCATAAACTCTCAAACTCATTATGCCTAAAATGGAAAGCCAGCTCACCTCTGATCTTCTAGTGGCCCTATCTTCCTGGGGCAGTGTCTGCCTTGTCGAACAAGTTAGAAATTTAGGGGCTGAACTTGATTTTTGTTTTCCTCTCTTCCCCCTTCCTCCTTAGCCACTACAACTTGTTATTCACCTTCCAACCATCTCCCACATTTGTCCACCTCTCTAGCCACTTCCATCACTCCAGTCAAAGCCACCATTTTGGCTCACTGTGTCTACTCTTGTCCCCTATTCATTGTCTACACAGAATGATCATTTTACAATACAAGTTGGATTGTAACATGCCTTAAAATCTGTAGGAACTTCTTTTGTTGTCAGGATAAATGCCCAAATTCTTACACTGGTTTGTGCTCCCAGGACTTGGCTGGTGTTTGTATACCACTCCAGTCTCATCTCACATGGCTCCCCTCCCCTGTGGTCCACTTTGGCTTTGAGTTCTTTTACCTGATGTTGCTCTTTGCCTTGGGATTTTTTCGTGTGCTCTTCTGTCTGCAGTATGCTTAGGACCCTGCCATGAGTCTTCTTAGAAGGTTCTGAGTGCAGACTTTTCTAAGAGGCTTTCCTAAAGGACGTGTGAAAACACTGTCAGGTCCACCTGTCAAATGTTCTCATAGTATCCTGATTCTCTCCTCACAGCATTGATCAACTTTCAATGAAATAATCTGCATAGTCAATTGTTATACTGTGTTGCCCTGGGAGAACGGAAACTTTGTGAAGGCAGGGGCAAGTCTATCTTGTTATGCTGGACCTATCACAGGACTTTTACTTGATTGAGGGCTCAGTTATTCAGTGAGTAAAATTTGAAATCCAGCTTTGAATCTCTGGCAAATCAATCTGAGAGCTTGTTTTCCTGTTAACACAGGAGTAGCAGGGACCCTTCTGAGGATCAGATAAGTAAGGAAATTCTGTTGAGCACTAACACATCTTTTCTTTCAGTGAGAAATTGAGTCCTCTGATGCGGGAATGGTCCTTATTAATTCTGACAGGTTTCCTGAGTCCTAGTTGCTGCAGCCCTGCATCTTTGCTCATTGGAATGAGCTCAAAGAAACCTGGCTGGAAACTTCACTTACACTAAAATTGGTCCAGATAGTCGCATAGGAATTACTTCAGAGATACCAATTTGTGACCCTAGGGATTGGTGTGGCCACAGATGTGCTCTGCTCTACCACATGTTTTTATTTGTTTGTTTTTTCTCTCTACTGTGTTTTTAAAAGCCAGAAGAGCAGTCACATGTAAAAAGCGAGGAGATACTTGGGACTTGTCTAGGGGCGAGTAGAACTCTATTTCTTGACCTGGGTGGTGACTATGAAGGTTTTTCTAAATTTTTTCTTAAACTGTTTTTTTAAAATTTTCTGTTTATCTCACATTTAAAAAATGAAAAATATTTGAATTAGTTGCCAAATTTACAAGTCTAATATTTCATGGAAGGAATCTGGCTTTGTGGTTTTTCCTGAAAAATCAGAAGATGGGCTTGCATCCTCATGGTGACAATGGCCTAGAGCTGGGGAACAGTTGTCCCTATCAAATTGGGCACAGACCAGGGGACAAATTTTTCCCCAATAACCAAATCAATTCTGATTTGATTAAAAATCATTCATGATAATAGCGAACACTTATTCACTGCTTACAATGTGATGGGTATTATTTACAAGATTATACAATTTAATCTTCATGCCAATTCTTTTTAAAAAATCCTCATTGAAGTTATATTAAAAATGATTTTAGAGAAAGGGAGAGGAAAGATGGGGAGGGAGGGAGGGAGAGAGAGAAAAACATCAATATAAGAGAGAAATTTGGATTGGTTGCCTCCTGTACATTCCCCAGCTGCAGATCAAACCGAGAGCCTAAGTAGGTGCCCTGACCCAGAATCAAATCTGCAACCTTTTTGGTTTACAGGATGATGCTCCATTCAACTGAGCCACCTGGCTAGGGCCATGCCACTCCTTTTTGTTATCATTTTATAGATAAGAAAACTGAAGCCAAAAGAAATGTATGTAAACTTGCCAGAGATCACAGGGGTAAGTAGCAGTGGTTTGTCTCTAGAGCAGTCATGTCCAATAAGAACTTTCTGTGGCAGTGGAAAATGTTCTATATTTGTGTTGTCCTCTATGGTAGCCACCAGCCACATATGGCTATTAAGCACTTGAAATATAAGGATTTGCAAAGGAAGAATTCAGGTTTAATCAGTTTAAATTTAGCTGTTAGAGTGCTGGTGGACCTCTGTACGGGGGGGTGTCACTCAAGCCTGAGCTCTTAACCACTTGCTTATATAAAACTATGTTCTAACTAAGCATTTTAATTACAGAGTTTGAGATTCAGAACATTAATATCTAAGGACGACAGATTTACTGTTCAAAAACAAAGAAAAAATAAACACAGACTAGCACAACTTAAGTATGAGGTTGAAACTCAAAAACTCTGGAACAATGCCAAGCATATTCTGACTTCCTTTCTTAAGCAAAGGATTTATATCTAAGATGTCATATTAACTTATGTGAAGGGGCCAAGGAAAGGGCAGAAAAGGGAAGGAAGACTTCTTTCACAAAGTTGGTATGACCTTCTTCAGGAGCATATGGCACTGTGTGGACATTGGAGAGAATATGCCATATAAAGATCTGGGCTGGCCTACTGGTGTAAAAACTGTTTCCAGCCAACCCAACCTCTGCAGGCTTGTGGTTTTATTATCTAATGCCAGTTTAAAAGGAGCCTGCCTCTACCACCTGTCCTTTATAATTACTTGATATGGAGTTACAAGGGATACCCTCTGCAGCCTGAGTACTGAAAAAATAGTACTTTGTCCGCCCCCCCCCCCCCACTCATGTGCTGTTTAGGAAGCCCTGAATGTGATGAAGGCATATTATTCTAGTCATTAGATCTTTTAGATTTCCTTGCACAGCACTAAATCAAGGATCAAAGAAAATCACACAACTTAAGACCAGTGGCTTTCAGTAAAAATGACTCAGTATTAATTGTATATCACCAGGAGAGAGAAACTTTAGGGCACAGATAGAGCAGGATTAGAAAGTTCAAGAGGCCTGGCTCTGACTGGTATGGTTTAGTCGGTGGGGTGTCATTGTGCAGGGCAAAGGGTCACCAGTTTGGTTCCCGGTCAGGGCACATGCCTTGGTTGTGTGCTGGTGCTGGGCTACGGTGTATGTGAGAGGCAACCAACCGATGTTTCTTTCACTCACCAATGTTTCTCTCCCTCTCTTTCTTCCTCTCCTCCTCTACCTAAAAATAAATAAAATCTTAAAAAAAAAAAAGATGCCTGTAACTGCTAGCAGGCAAGCATCACCCAAGTTTCAACAATAATGAAAGTTGAGGCAAGTCACAAAAAAATCTTAAAAAATTTTTGGACAGCAACAAAGAGGTGCAATAGTGAATGATGAGATACATCTGGATAGAAGGATATTCTACAAATGCACATTTGTAAACCCCCCCAAAAAGAATGATGGTCAAGAGAAAAAAGTAAGACTCACAGTTTCCCATGACTAGTGTGTTAAAGGTCTTTGAGGCCCACTACTTCCTGGCTCCCCTTGAAATTGGTGACATTCTGTTATTGCCAACCCCTGGGGATCCATAAATACATTCTGGGTGGAGTGAAATTAACCCACCCTTTAAGGCCTGCTAACAAATCAGACTAGGCATCAGGCTTAAGTCTGTGCAAAGCCAGGCAGTTTGATTTACATTTAGGAATAGAAACAAATTTAAAGATACTTTTAGAAAAGAGAAAAATGTCAACAACTCAAAAAGGCAGTGCTAAAGTTAAATTATATCTTTTCTTCTATGTGCCAAAGCCAATGATAAGATATTAAGAATACTTTTCATTTGACTATTCTTTTATTTCCAGCACAAAAAAGAAAACTGAGCAGATAAAAGACTCTTTCACAAGCACTGAGGACAAGGAAGATGTAGTTTTAGATAAAAAACTTAAGTATTATAAATCCCCACAGTCCACTGAGCATCATCCTGCAAGAAGACCCATGTCAATCTCCAGAGAATGGCACGAATATAAAAAGAAGAACCAGACTATCAGCGTAGGAACAGACATTAACTGTGATGTCATGATTCACAGAGATCACAGGAAAGAAATGAGAGCCCCTTCCCCATACTGGGCAATGGTGAAGCAAGACAAAGACAGCTCCTCCTCCTCCTCAGCCTCAGACATATTCTGGCTGGAAGACTATGCCCAAGTTGAAAAGGACAAGGGTCAACCTGCATCAAAATTTGGTTACTAGTTTACAAATCTGTGATCACAGGAGCATTTCTCTGGAAAATACCCAATTTTTATAACTGCCACATACAGCTTTTCTGTACTTACAGGAACATGTACAGACTTAACCAATTATTTCACAGCTGTTGTAAAGCCTTTAGGCCTTCTTCAATGTGATATCCAAGACTTCCCTTGGTGGGCAAAGAGCCCTCAAAAATTTTATTCTTAAAACAGCACCATCACTCAGTCATTAAGACCCTCCTATCTCAGAAAAATGTCTCATCTTTTAGAAAATGTAGCTGAACAGCTTAATATCAGAATGTGTGAACATAGTAGAGAATTTCACTTTTTAAGGTAAGTGCCATATTGTTATTTAGATACCTAGTTTTTCTTGTTTTGCAAACTTCAACTGCCCTACTTAAAAGAAGTAAAAGGTATTTTTGGCTAGTTATTCAAGTTAGAAGTTGTTTTCCTTTTTTGGCCCACTTTTACTCTAAATGTTGGGTTCATTGGTAACTAGTGTATTTTGCTGTGTATAGTGCACTCCCATGTATAATGTACACCCATGTTTTTGGCCCAAACTGTCAGGAAAAAATCTTTTAATTTTAAAATCCAATTATTTATTTATTTATTGACACTCGTTTTTTGTATTATAAAAGAATTTTAGCATTTCTTTTTGAACATATGATGATATAAGAAATTTTATGTAACAAATTACAAAGCACAAGAATAGATATAAGGTATTTCAGGTACTGCCCATGTATAAGGTACATCCTTATTTTTCCCTCAAAAATTCGAGTAAGAAAAGTGCACATCATACACAGCAAAATACAGTACTTAAGAGACAAGATAGAAACAGAAGAGGGAGAAGGAGATGATGAGAGAAGATAAAGCTCTGTCACAGTGAAGATAAAGCAGATATACAAAACGAAGCAGTACAATTATAGGACACAACGGATGGGGAATTTATATTTTTCAGAAATAACTATTGCAAGAAGGGAATAAAATTCAGACCATTTAATTGTTCTTACCCAAAATGAAATTTTAGCTGTTTTTATCTTTTTTTTGTCATCACAAACAGTATTTTTTAAAATTACATTTTATCGATTATGCAATTACACTTGTTCCAATTTTCCCCCCTTTGACCCCCACCACCCAGCACCACCTACTCCCTCAGGCAATCCTCACACCATTGTTCATGTCCATGGATCATGCATGTAAGTTCTTTGGTTATCCCACTTCCTATACTATGCTGTATGCCCCTATGGCTATTCTGTAACTACCTAGTTATACTTAATTCCCTCACCTCTTCACTGATTCTCCCAAACGTGTCCTCCCATATGGCAATCAAAATGCTCTCTGTATCAGTGATTGTGTCCCTGTTCTTGTTTGCTTAGTTTGTGTTTTAGATTCAATTGTTGATAGATATGTATTTATTGCCATTTTATTGTTCATAGTTTTGATCATGTTTTTCTTAAATAAGTCCCTTTAACATTTTGTATAATGGTTTAGTGATGATGAACTCCTTTGGGAAGCTCTTTATCTGCTCCATGGTTCTAAATGATATCTTTGCTGGGCAGGGCAATTTTGGCTGTAGGTCCCTGCTTTTCATGACTTTGACTATTTCTTGCCAATTCCTTCTAGCCTGTAAAGCTTCTTTTGAGGAATCAGCTGACAAATCTTATGGGAATTCCCCTGTATATAACTAACTGCTTTTCTCTTGCTGCTTTTAAGATTCTCTTTATCTTTAACCATTGGCATTTTACTTAATTGTAAATTTAAAAAAAATTCTTTTATTGATTATGCTATTACAGTTGTCTTGATTTCCCTCCCTTAGCCCTTTTCCACCCAGCACTCCCCACTCGCTCAGGCAATCCCCACAGCATGGTTCATGTCCATGGATCATGTGTGTAAGTTCTTTGGCTATTCCATTTCCTATACTGTACTTTATATCCCCATGGCTATTCTGTAACAATCTATTTGTACTTAATCTACTTACCTCTTCACCCATTCCCCCTCTCCCCACTTCCATCTGGCAACCATCTAGTAACTAACTTTTCTCTTGCTGCTTTTAAGAGTCTCTCTTTATCTTTCACCTTTGGTCTTTTAATTATGATGTGCCTTGGAGTGGGCCTCTTTGCATCCACCATAATTGGGACTCTGTACTTCCAGGACTTGCATGTCTATTTCCTTCTCCAAATTAGGGAAGTTTTCTTTCACTATTTTTTCAGATAGATTTCCAATTTCTTGCTCTTTCTCTTCTCCTTCTGGTCCGCCTAAGATGGGAATGTTGGAATGCATGAAGTTGTCCCAGAGACTGCTTACACTATCATTTGTTTTGGACTCTTTTTTCTTCTTGTTCTGCATGGTTGTTTTTGGCTTATGTTCCAAATCATTGATTTGATTCTCAGCTTCATTCTATTGCTGTTCTCCTGTAAATTGTTCAATTAGTGTATCCTTCATTGCTAACTGGATCTTTATGCTGTTGAGGTCCTCACTAAGTTCCTTGAGCGTCCTTATAACCAATGTTTTGAACTCTGCATCTGATAGATTATCTCATCTCCATTTTGTTTAGTTTTTTTTCCTGGAGTTTTGATCTGTTCTTTCATTTGGGCCATGTTTGTCTTCTTGTTTTAGCAGCCTCCCTGTTTGTTATGTATTGTATATATTAGGTAGAGCTGCTATGACTCCGTCTCAGTATCATGGCCTAATGTAGTAGATGTCCTGAAAAGTCCAGAGGCACAGCCTCCCCTCTGACTCAGGCTGGGTACTCAAGGTGTGCCTTTTGTGTGGGCTGAGTTCACTCTCCTCTTGTAGTTGAGACTTGGTTGCTATTGGCAGGTCAATGGAAGGGATTTACGTAGGCCAGTGAGCTCCAAGGATTGGCTGTGACTACTGAATACCAATGTCCATCCTCTGTGGAGGGGCAGGGTGGTAGTGTTCAGATGTGATCTGTACCTGTCCATTGGGTGTACAGGCTCTGGGATTTCCTGGGTGGTGCAGGTCAAGGTCAGCTCCCACCTGTTTTGTCTGGGGCAACCCTGCCTGAACTATAAAATAATCTGAGATGGCTGCTACTTCTGCAGGGGTTAGAGATTTCCAGGGGAAGCCAAGTTGTGAATCTAGGTGACTACTGCTAGAGCCAGGCCTGGGGCCACTTAGCAAGAGGTAGCACGGAAGGGAGCTTACTGAGGCAGGCTGTTGATTGAGAGTATTTGGAAAGTTGTGAAGCATGAACCAAGACCAGCCATTCATATAAAATAGCTACTGTTAACAGCTGTAAATTGGGTGGGACAGAGCCTGAGGGTATCCTCAGGGAAGGGCAAACAGTGTTAGCAAGGTTGATGGGAAATCTCAGATATGGCATCTGCCAGCTGGTTCTGTGGGAGGTACACTCAGAAAAGTGACAATGGCTGCTACCTGCCTATGTTGGAGAAAGCTGACCCCCAGCTTGCACCTTGATACCAGAAACTTCAGTTCCTTTTTGTATGCCACTGGTGCCTTTCAAACTGTTACCCTACTGCTAGAGCTCAGAGGGAGTGAATCTGAGTAGGTAAGAGTGTGTGTGGGCTCTTTAAGAGAAATTGCTTGGGACTCCAGAGGTTTCTTCCAATTCAGTACTTGCTGGTTTTTGTAGACAGAAGTAACGGGGACTTACCTTCTCGGCACTGGAACCCTGGGCTGGTGGGCCTAGTGTGGGGCTGGGACTCTTCACTCCTGAGATATCACTCCCAAATTGTTATCCACCTTACATGAGTGGGATCAAGCCACTCCATGTTTCTACCCCTCCTACCAGTCTGGATGGATGTGGATTCTTTAATTCCTAAGTTGGCAAACTCCCATTCAACTTGATGGTTGTTCTACAATTTTGTTGTAATTCTGATGGGGATGTATGAGGAAGCGAGCCATGATGTTGCCATACTGACCAGAAATCTCTGCTTTTATCTCAAAGAGGTACCACCTACAATAGCCTGGAAATACTGGCTAATAGCTATTCAACCTTCATTTAATAGTTTCTCACACTATCATATCCTGTTCTCCTTGACAGCATCTAAAACAAGATGTCTGCAAGTAAATACTTGTTGATTAACCGATTAGAAAAAAAACACAAGTAAACACTTAGAATGTTTTACTAACTTTAGGTTGGCTGGAAACAATTACCTGCATTTATACTTTTTAGGATTATTTCACCTCATTGAAAAAAAAAAGATAAATGTTACATTACAGACTTGTGACTTTCATGTGTTTGCTGCTCTGGGTTGAGAAAATGTCCAGCTCTTTCCTACATGGTGTTTTCGCATTACAACTCATCAACAAAAGGTGTGTGCCCCAAATTTCCGCTTGTTGCCATTGACTTCTTTCCAGAAACAAATTTCTTTGCAGCCTTTAAGTAAACAAATGAAAGGCAGAAAGTTAAAAGAAAATGTATTATCAAGTAATTTAACTTATTTCATGAGTTTATGGATAAGACACTGCAAGCCAGCAATTCTTTAACAGCCTCTTGTAAAAATTAACTACAGAAGGGGGCTAGTGTGCTATTTAATTTGAATAAAAGCTCAGCTGTCTCTTTGAGTATCCCATTATATGTGTGACTGAGGAAGTGTGGTGCTCTTGATATGAAGGTAGCTGTTATAGCTGAAGGGGGATAAGGAAAACCTCATGGACATTGCAAACTAGGGTAGAGTTGGCCTTGGGCAGGTCTGTAACCTTCTTATTTCTGTATTACAGTGGCAAATAGTCTAGGTTAATAAAAATACACTGATTGTTAACTTAAAAGTCCAATTTTCTTAGTATTCTTTATGCCATGACTTCAAGTTCAAAGGCCGGTTGCTTGCATTAGTGTAATACCATAAGTATAAGTCCCTGCATTATGTCAGGCCATCTTTTCTCAGTGGATGGTGGTGGCAGCAGCTGGGTTGGGACTCACATGGTATATAAGATGAGGACATTTGGAAGAGTATGTAATAAACTTTGGGTTCAGAAAGCGATGTCGGGGTTACTCCTTAAAATATACTGTCTCTTTTTTCCATCCTCATTGTCCCTACATAAGGTAGACATGTTAAGAAGATGGTTGAGATCTCTACCATGGAAGGGCAGTTGGCATTTTTAATATAGAAAGGATCGGAAAAACCTACTGATTTTGAATTTATTCTGTAGTTCATGTACTTGTTTGGTATAGTAGGGAATACAGAGAAAAAGTATAACATATATTCCTTGCCCTCAAAATAACTCATCTTGTAGGCAACAATAATATATGTGGAAAAAAAAAGCAAGAGTAGGAGAATATCTTAGGCTGAGAAGACAAAAGAAAATCTTGAGATGCTGGATTGTGAAGGACTTGCAAAAGATGGACTTTATTTCTTCTTGGGAGTGAAAAGGAAAAATACCAAACTTGACTATTAGTTTCAATCATAAAACTGCCAATATTCGATTCTTCTTGGCCTCTAAGAATTTAGAATGGTTTAACTTAATTGTAATTTAGCTGAATGAGGAAGATACATAAACCCTGAGATGATAAGGTAGTTATTTGCAGATCTGATGGTAATGAGCTTACCTGGTAGACAGGCACCAAACAGCATAAAAATAACATATACAGTCCAAGGAATCTTATGCATGCCTTTTGAAATTGGATCATTAAGGTCAAGTTATTTGATGTTAAATCATAAGTTTTCATTTGCTTACATTTATGACATCAGCATCAGCTACTGAGTCAATCTGCTGAAGGACTGTGGATGGTGGCATGTACGAACCAGCAACAAGGGCCTGAGACCCGACTTCATCCAGGAAACCCTCAGAAGACTCCACTGACATTAGGTACCCAGCCTTCAGCTTGTTCCTGTCCAATTAAAGGTGCATAACTAAGACAGAAGCCAGTTTTACAGAGCAAGGCAATTTTATTAGTATGTTCCCAAACTCTCAAATATGTACTAGTAAATATGCAAATTAACAGCTTTGAAGTCTTACACTGTTACAGGCCTCCCTTCTATTTCTTCAGCTCACCATTATCATGCAGAAAGTTGTCAGTACAAAATTATACAAAACCCCAACAGATTACCTTTTGATTCTGGACTAGAACTGAGATCTAGTGAAGTAACTCTTGTCTCCTGATACTTTCTTGGGAATAATTTTAGGCATTTTTATTAAACAAAAATAA